CGAATTCTCCTACCATTAAACGGAGAGACGATGTGTGATTCCAGTAAAGATTACTGTCGTGTTTTACAGTATCGAATGCTTTATGGAAATCAATAAAGCATGCAGGATACGGATTTTGTTTTCTTTGGTAGAGCAATATTAATTTTTTAATCTTCTTTTAATCAAGGTTCCCTCCCCTCGTCCTGGAAATTGGCTTTAGTTACTCTCCTGTATTCAAGAAAGGTAATAAACTTGATTGCAATAATTATCGTCCAATCAGCCTGGTTCCTATTGTCAGCAAGGTTATGGAATCGATTATTTCGGAAGCTATGTCCGAGTTCCTTCTTCAAGAAAATGTCATCCCTCATCAACAGCATGGATTTATCAAAGGTCGTTCAACGATCACAAACTTACTTCATTGTGTAAATGATTGGTCATTATCTTTAAACAATCGGAATCCTGTCGATGTAGTTTACTTAGACTTCTCCAAAGCTTTCGATCGTGTTCCAAAACGTCGATTACTAGCTAAATTGGATCACTATGGTATCCTCGGAAAATTAAACATTTGGATACAAGATTTTCTATCCGACAGATACTTCAGGGTTTGTGTTGGGGAAGACCACTCATTAGATAAGCCAGTCAAGAGTGGAGTTCCACAAGGATCAGTACTTGGACCGCTACTTTTTTGTGTCTACACTAGTGATCTTCCGCTCATTGTATCCAGTAAGGTTTCCATTTACGCTGATGACACTAAGTTATATGTGAATACAACTATTAACCAACATATTCTTCAACAAGATCTTGACGCAATATTCAAATGGTCCTCAGAATGGTTACTTCCGCTTAACATTGAAAAATGCGTTGTTTTTACATATCAGCAAAAATAACCCATCACTTCCGTACTTTATTAATGGATATCCTTTAAACTCTGTAACCTCACACAACGATCTCGGAGTGATAATTAATAGTGACTTAAATTGGTCTGATCACATATTGTCGGTGTGTAAACGTGCTAACTCGAAACTGTTTTTGATTCGTAAGTGTTTTGCACGCATATCTCTAACCTCTGTTAGTAAACTTTACTCAATATACGTTAGACCTATTCTTGAGTTTGCCGGACTAGTGTGGAATCCAGATCTTAGTCGCGATAAAATTCTACTTGAAAACGTTCAGCGTAAAGCCACAAGACTGGCATACGGCCGTGTAAGACCTAACTATGAAGATAGACTATTCATGGCTCACCTTACGACATTCGAGCAGCGACGTCTTCGAGGTGACCTAATTATGTCGTTCCGTATTTTAAAACATAATTTTGGGAACCTAAACAACATATTCACTTTGAATGAAGACGATAGATTAAGAGGCCATCGATACAAATTAAAGAGGGAACAAACTACTGCAAGGTCCAGGGCGAACTTCTTGCCAAACAGAATCTTTAATATCTGGAACAATTTGGATCAAGACACCATATCGGCAGCTTGTATTAACATCTTTAAAAATAAACTTGATAGCACTTTATTTTTTTTTATAGGATAGGATATTTGTTCTCGGACAGCATTATTTATTTATTTATTGTGTCACAATTCAATTTTCGTTAATTGTTTAACTATTTAACTTTATAATTAGTATTAGTTTTATAAGGATCTATTTTATTTTTGTTTATTTTTGCTTTTTGGGCATAATAGGAGCTCGCTCCTCTGCCCTTATTTGTTATATAATAATAATAATAATAATAATAACAGTCACCTAGGGCTCGATAACACGGAAAGAGTCCCACCAGAGCTCAATCCTTTTGATACCGTAGGTATCTGGGATGAGTGAATTTTCCCCTTAGAGGGAGTGTGAGCCGTATGGCTAAATCGGGATAATAATAATTATAATATACTTCAGCTATGATCTTGGTATTACTCCATTTAAATATATGTTTTGTTAGTCATTGAGTACCGTTAGTGTTACATAGCTTTATGAGTTCAGCATATATGCATCGTCAGGTACAGTAATTTTGCCATCCTTTAGTTGTGACATTGTTTTTTTACTTTATCTGATGTGATTGGTAAGTGGCCATTACATATGTAGAACGGAGGTTATTCGGACCTATTATCAGGGTGAATGTATGCTCCATCGGGTGATTGAGGATGAAAGTATGGCTACGTCTTATTAGCACATTATGTGTATCACAACATTTTAACATTTTAACTCCAATGCTCCAGTATACGCGTTCTGCTATCTCCTAAAATATGTGATTTGTGGTCTTTTACTCATAACTTGATTAGATTTTAAGCTATGAAGTACTTAAATAAACATTTTGTTGGTTTTTTAAAGACAAATCATTTAAATTAACTTTTTGTTTTAAACCCATAGTTTTAAAAAAGTTCAAATTGAAAAAGCTTGAACGAGTCACTAATCACGAGTGTATGCAAACTTCGAACAGTCATGTCTTAACTAATTTTAGTCTTATATAAAAAACAAAAAATTGAAATGTTCAAAAAAGTAAAACTCACGTTTTTTTATTTTTAAGATTTTACGTATTACCATTACTTTTTAAGTTATTTAAAAAAAGCCACTTTATTATAGTTCTAAAAAATTATTTTATTTTAAAACCAAGATTTTTTAAAAATAAACACTTTGAACCAGCCAAACTTATAAACCGTATAAACAATAAATGAATAAAGTTAATTGTAAAGCGATAACGAATAATTTTATTTGCTGTACTAATAAGGGAGTGATTTTCGCAATGTGTTTACCAAAAAAAGGACTATTTTTACAATCTGTTTTGCAGTGTAAACAATAAGTAATTTTTTTTCTCTTTACATGACAGAGAGATGTAAGCTCCAGTGACCAAATCATTACGACACAGATTGGCGTGTTTACCGGTAGGATGCGCAGATACACTGATACGCGAGCACTAAAAGCGGCACTGATCACAATGGCTGGTGCTGTTGAAGGCGTAACTCCCACTGCTGTAGGCTCTGTCAGGATTGGTGAGGTAGGTCCAAGGGGTCATGTCGCTTCAATCTCTTCGCTTGTTGGTTGTTAAGAAGACTGTATGTCAGGGTCTTAGGATGCACCCTCAATCTGTTATGATATTGTTCAAAAGATTTTTTGCACACTTCAGAAACTGTTAGTACCTGAAGATCTCTATGTATTGCATCATTCTGGATATACCAAGGTGCATTAGCGATTGTTCTCAGAGTTTTGGATTGAAATCTTTGTATTATTATAATATTAGATTTGCTAGCTGAACTTCAGAGCTGCGAGCCATATGTCCAAATGGGTTTTATTATTGTATTGTATATCAGCAGGTTGTTGTCGATCGATAGGTGAGAGTTTTTTCCCAACATCCAGTAAAGTTGTCTGTATAGAATTCCCAATTGAAGCCTTTTCGTCCATATATGTTTGGTCCAAGTTAGACGTTTGTCAAGGTGAATACCTAAGTATTTTACGTCATGCTTTTGGGGCAAAGGATGTCCATTGAGGTTAACTTGTGGACATGTACCTGTTCTTAGAGTGAATGTAATTGGTGTGGATTTTGAGGGGTTTACTCTAATTCTCCAGAGTTTAAGCCATTCATTTGTTTTGTTCAAATGTAGTTGCAGTATCTCTGATGCTATTATTGGGTTGCTATAAGGGGCCAAGAAAGCAGTATCATCTGCGAATGTTGCATGCGTTGGGTTATTGCTTATTGGCAAGTCAGCCGTATATATCAGGTACAGAATCGGTCCGAGCACACCACCCTGAGGTACACCAGATAGGATGGGTAGAGTTTTAGTATAGGCTTCACTATATTTTACCAGATATCTCCTTTCTGTAAGGTATGATTGAAGCAGTTTGAAGTAAGGGTAAGGTAAATTTTTCTTTAGTTTGTACAAGTCCTGTATACCACACCTTGTCAAAAGCTTGAGAGGCGTGTAAAAAGGCTGCAGTACAGTACTGCTTGTTCTCGAGACTACTTCTTATTGTTGTGTAAAGTCTGTGAACTTGTTCGATTGTACCATGTTGGTTACGAAAACCGAATTGATGGTCAGGTATGAGACACTTTTCGTCCAATATTGGTTTGATTTTCCGTAGCAGAAGTTTTCCAAAGACCTTAGAGATGACTGGGTGTAGACTAGTCGGTCGGTATTAGTTGACATATTTTGGATCTTTACCTGGATTTTGAATGAGTATAATATGTGGCATTTTCCATTGCAGAGGGAAGTAATACAGACTAATCATAGCATTGGAGATCATAGTGATTATTTTGTAACAGTCATTGGTTAGTTCCTGGAGGATCTTACCCGTTATGAGGTCGAATCCCGGAGCATTATTGGGTTGTGTCTCATTCTTTATTATCTGTTTTACTTCTTTTAATACTAAACTTGATGATTGGTAGTTCCATTTGATATGGAGCCTCAAGAAAAGGATTAAATGGTTCTTCTTGTTCTAATGACACTACTCTGTTAAATGGACTAAATACTATAGAAAGATAAAAAACAAAATAAAGGTATTTTCAAACACTTTCAAATCTTTTTGATTTTCAAACTAGTTCATTTTCTGGTTATTTTACTTTGATAAATTTAATTTGGAATTTGACAGATAAGAAACTGCATTTCATGAGCTACAGCTCTGCTTCTACTAAGTCTACCTACTACGTGAGTATACCATTTTTTTATAAGCTACATTTTTGTTAAACATACTTTTCGATAAATACCTTTTAAGTTATTTGTGAAAAATCATCGAAAACATAGTTTTTATTTTAAAAAATAAAAATTTTCACTCGCAAATAACTCAAAAAGTATTGACTTAGTGAAAAAACTTTATAAAATAAAAGTAACTTACAATTAGTTAATTTATCCATTTTCTAACTTATTTTATACGTATTTTTTTAGCAAGAAGTGGTGGCTTTCACCCACCAAGTAAAAGCAATCCTGGACTCCAGTCCAAAAGTGGAGGGTAGGAGGAACTTAAATCCAAATTTGCAAGATAACACTGCCATTTACTAGAGTATTAAAAAATTAAAATTATTGTCAAACTTTACTTACGTTAATTTTTCACACTTATTTTTAATCTCTGTCCAGTCTGTTCGTTTTTCTTTTAAGTTATTTAAATGCTTATTTAAGTCGATAAGAGAATTAGTACTAAGCTGTGCTGATTGTGGTCGCGGGTTTATTTCCTCCCACTTGGCCACAAACCGTTCTATTTCCTTATCTAAATTCTCCTTTTCGATATTGAGAGTAGTTTTAATAGTTTCCATCTAAAATAATATTTCATATTATGTAAGGATATATTTATAACTATTATATAAAAAAAATAATAGGTACTGCAAAGTCCCTTCTAATATTATTTTAAACGCCCAAAGACAATACAAATATGCTTCTTGAAACATTAAATGCTGCTAGCAGCGGTTACTATTATCTTCTTAATAATAAATGGTACAAACAGATACCAACAATAATATCAATAACAAATGTTTATTTGATGTATAAATCATATTTTCAACAAACTTAAGTAGATGGCAAAAAGCCCTTAGGCAATACCAGGCATTTAATTTTCTTTTAACCGTTTTTTTACCAGACCTGATCAGCGACAAAGTGCCACCGTTCCAAGGTTTTTTAAAGTGCCAGCAGTACCAGCGTCGTATATATACTACTTCTTCATGTACCATGTCCTTTCAGAACGTTGGTTACCATCATAGCTATCTTAATTTTATTCACTTCCACCCTAAATAGCATGCTTGTATCAACACCATACCAATCTCGCAAGTTCTTCCACCATGAGGTTCTTCTTCGTCCTGGACTGCGTTTGCCTGCTATTTTTCCTTGCATGATATTTTGTAGCAATCTATATTTGGGACCTCTCATTACATGTCCGAAATACTCTAGCCTTCTCTGCTTAATGCTTTTTATGATCTCAGTAGTCTTGCTGAGACGCTCTAGTATTGTGGAGTTTCGAATCTTCTCCACCCAGGAAACTTCTTCTATAGCACCACATTCCGAAAGCCTCAAGGCGATTTAGATCGATTTTATTCACAGTCCAGGACTCGACACCATAAAGTAAAACCGAGAACACGTAGCAGCGAAGTAGACGGTTCCTTAAGGCAAATTTTAAGTGTCTCTGTTACATAAGACCTTGGACATCATTCTAAAAGCAGCTTTAGCCTGCTCTATCCTGGATCTAATTTCGCCGTGACTTTCTGCGTTACAATTTAATTGCTGTCCAAGGTAAACGATTTTATCAACTTGCACAAGTTTGGGATTTTATATATATATATATATATATATATATATATAATATATATATATATATATATATATATATATATATATATATATATAGATATATATATATATATATATATATATATATATATATATATCCGGTTTTTTAGGCGTTACGCACCGGTAGGCATCTATGGAGGAGTATCACCGAGACGCAAGCCCTTATCTCTTGCCGTACTGCTCCACCATAGGCCGATCAGATCCCAGCATATTCTAGTCTAAGCCGCAGATTCATCTAGAATTTTAAACTGCTGCGTTAGACTTTTTGTTTCCGTACACCGAGCTGGGGCTCGATCCCACATCCACTGAACCATTCGACAGTGAAGCGAATGAGAGGCAGCCGCACAGCCCGCTGAGCTATCTGACCGACTATATATATATATATATATATATATATATATAATATATATAATATATATATATATATATATATATATATATATATATATATATATATAGACGGTTTTATATGCTGTTGTTTACTTATTACGAGTATTTTGGTTTTCCCAATGTTAAGATCCAGACTTGCCTCCCTACAACTCTCAACGACACTATCAAGTAGTATTTGCAGATCTTCTTGACTAGAAGCTAGGAGTACTGTATCATCCGTATATCACAAATTATTGATGACTTCGCCGTTCACAATTATTCCTTCTTGTTTTTCAAAAAGTGCTTTGCTGAGAATTATTTTAGAGTAAACGTTAAAAAGCAAGCCTGACAAGAGGCATCCCTGCCGTACTCCTTTTTTAATATTGAGAGCCTGTGATTCCACACCATCTACTAAAACTGATGTTGTTTGATTCCAATATAAATTTGCAATTATTCGAACATTTCTGCCGTCCAAGCCAATGTCTTTGAGAGTTTCGATCAATATATAGTGCTTAACACGATCAAATTCCTTTTGGAAGTCAATAAAACAACAGTATATGTCTACAGATATATCACGACATCTTTGAGTAAGTACGTTCATTCGAAACAGTGCCTCTCTCGTTCCCAACCTGTTACGGAAACCAAACTAAGTGTCATCCAGGTATTCCTCGCATTTATTGTAGATACGACCATGTATTATCTTCAAAAAAATTTTTAATAGGTGGTTTAACAAACTGATGGTTCTATAATCAGCACAGGTTTTTGCTGTTGTCTTCTTAGGTAGAGCTATAAACAGTGAATTATACCAACCGTTAGGTAGTTGTCCGCTGGTATAAATGGTATTAAAAAACAAGGTTATAGCCTCTAAAACATTGCTATCATTTATAAGCTTATATATTTCAGTTGGAATTTCATAAGGACCAGTCGCTCTGCCATCTTTTGATTATTGTATGGCATTTATAACCTCAAAGCGTGTTATTAGGGGTCCATCGCAGTTAGTAATACCGGAAGGTGAACTACTCCTATCGTCTTCGAATATGTTTGTGACGTAATTTTCCCATTCTATAAGTTTGCCCTCTACTTTATAATATATTACTTTACCATTTTCATCCTGTAGCAATGCAGTTTGTTTCTTATTGAAGATACTAGCCGCTTCTTTTACTTTTTTATACATGTTTAATCTGCCGTATCTTTTTTCAAGTTCTTCAATGTCATGACACTGTTTGGCTAGATGTTGACTCTTTACTTCTCGTATTTTACATCGAATTTCTTTTTATATGCTATTGTAAAGTGTTTCGTTGTTTTTCGCCAGTCGTCGTTGTTCCATCAAATCCAGTATGTCATCTGTCATCCAAGCCTGCTTTTTTAGCTTTGACCTGCCTTTTAAATTTCTCACACAGGTTTCTTTTACTGTTTATTACAAATTAGAGTTTATCCCATGGTCTTCTCTTAATCTGATGTGATGAATAACGCAACAAAGTTAACATGCACCACGCGCACAATCACTATTCTTTGCTTTTTAACTGTCACTTAAACTAATTCAAAGGACTATGTCCTCTTCAGTCTTATAGTAAACCCTGTGTTGTCAAGGATCTGAATTGCTTTAACATTCTATGACTATGCCGTCTTTTTGATAATTGTAACCACAATTTCTATACCCAGGTCCTTATGGAGGTCGCTATTCCTTACATACCAAGGAGCATTCACAATGTTTCTTAATACTTTTATTCTGAAATTTTTGGATTATTCCTATATTACTTTCCTGGGCACACCCCAGAGTTGGCTAACGTAAGTCCAAATAGGACGCAGTATTTGTTTATAAAGTAAAAGCTGGTTATATATAGAAAAAGTTGGCTTTCTTTTAAGCATCCAATACAATTTTTTGTTTTTTTACAAAGTTTTTCCATTTTTTTGTAATAAGAACTTTTCGGTGAAGTTGTGCATCTAGTTTTACCTATTCGTTGTAGTCTGTTTATTGGCTCTTCGATAGTCTCATCTACCGCCAAAAGGGCACTTCGAAGTAATGGACGTGTTCCATAAATTCAAGCTTTGTGTGTAGGTTTGTGGTTTTGTAAAAGGCCATAATTTAGATCAATGACTCAAGCAATTTTACAGTTTAAGAGTTTTGTGCCTCCAATAGGCAATTAAAGACATGTATATTTCTTTAAACATGTACCAACGCCAATTTTACAGAGAGAACTTTAAAAATTAAAGGTAGATTTAAAATAGTTAATATAATTAAATAAGATCATATCTTAACCCTCCGTTAGTCGCTATCGGTCTCACACACCGACGACAAAATTATTCATTCGGGATTTACAAATAACTGTTATTTTTCTATCGCCACTTTCTGTACCTCTCTCTATCTACCAAACTCGTGTTAGTGTACATTCTTACATTCCTGGATACAGTTGTGTCAGTTATAAAGTTATTTTCGGTGTCAGAGTCCGTAGCGACTAACGGTGTAGCTATTATTTGTTGCAGAACTTACAGAACAGGTATATATTTATCATCTTATTATTACATTTTATCGGTAAGCTTTTGTCAATTCTTATTTATAGATGTCCTTTGAAGCCAAACAACTTTGATTCCAACGCTTGTTGGAAGTATGGACATAATTCCTACCGACGATGAGAGTTATTTTGACGATGAGGAAAGTGAAAGCAAAATAGATCAAGATGAGGTGAGGATGGTGGAAATGAATCGGAACAAGATGTGACAGATGAGAAAAAAGAAAGTGGAAGTAATACCTTAGCGTTTATTGGAAAATATAGCGTTACTAGATGAAAAAAGGCTATTCCACCGTAAAATGTTAGAACAAGACAAGAAAATTATATAGTACGTAATACAAACTAATGTTTGTATTTTGAGAACGATATCCGATGTGAAAATTAAAACATGAATAAACTTACTTTAACCTTTAATTGTTGCTTATCCCCATTTAAACAGTAATTACTTTAAAATGCCACAAGAAATAGTTTCAGAACAATATTCATAAAATATTGTTATACTAGTGTTTTTCGTTTTATATTTGTTTTTTTTTTTCAATAAAATATTTTCAAAATATTGCTTAGTTATTCCTATAAACAATATAAAATATTTGTATGAATTTTATATTAAAAACAGTCTTTTTTAATTGTCGGTCTCAGACACCGTAGCGACTCTTGATGCTCAGTTTTTTCTAGCGACTAACGGAGGGTTAAAAATAAATACTAAAAATAAAATATTTTGTTACATTAAAATTAAATTAAAATAAAAATTAAACTAAAATTTTAAAAATAAATACTAAATACTTTCCCAAAACACCGTTTTCCTATTTTCTTTCCTCTGTTTGGTACATTTTATCAGCCCCTGTTCTGTATCTTCTTTGGTTACTATACTCTTTTGGAACTATACACAAAAAGGAAATGTGTTTGACTCTTTCGGGGAATTTCCCTTCTTAATACGGCATACAAAATTTTGTCCCTAAAATTTATCATAGGACCATACCAAAGAGTCTTTTTGAAAAACAGATCTACCATTGATTACACATCAGACAAATATTAGAAAGAACGATAAAATAGTACGATACTACCATGGTAAATAGGTCGCTCAGAAGAAGGAGAAGGGGGCGACTTAAACTCAGGTATCTAGACGATGTCCAGGAAGATTTAAGGGAAATTAGAATAAGGAATTGGAAAAGACAGATACTTGACAGGAAAGAATATAAGAGTATTTTAACGAGCTTACGAAGGGCTGTAACGCCAATTGATGATGATAATGATGATGATGATGATGTTTATCTACTCTACTTCGTTTTTACTTTTATTGTCAGGGCTGATTCATGTAATTTACGTTGTTTGGATTTTTTAAAGAAAGTGTTAAGCAAAATAAATTTTCTTTAGTTAAAAAGTTGTAAATTACAATAATAATCCCCAAAAACTAGCTTAAGCTAGTTAACTCAGCATGTAATCCTTATATAATATTGTAGAACAAAATGGTTTTGCCTATTAAAAAGCAACAATTGGATTAGATGTTTGGTAAAATTATTTAATAAGCATGTAAAGAAAAAAAAAACAAATTAAGCGTATTAATAACTAAGATTATAATACCTGTTTTTCCATAATATGTTGATAGTTATCCAATAAACTTTGCAGACGATCCCAAGCACCTTTAAGTCTATTTACAACACTCACTTGTTCTCGTGACCAGCTGGACAGGGTTTGCGCTTTTCTAGACATTTCGTTAAATAGTTCTTCCATCTAAAATAAATGTTTTACATTATATCCTCAAATATGATATAAGTAGTTTAAATTTTATTTATAAAAATTATCACCTTCTTATAGTTATTATAAAAATAAAGTGGTAAAAAATACCATTAAGTAATGAGAGAAAATGGAAACATGAATTTAATCCACAAATCTAAGAAACGAAAGAAGATATAGTAGTATATGGATGTATTTATTCCTTGACTTTATTACAATTTATTAAAAATAAGATTATGTTTATAGATTATTAATATTATGTAATATAGTATTTTAATATAAATTATTTTATGATTTGAACGCAAATCTTTGAAACTTGGTAATGGATGTTTGATGAATTTATTCCTTGACTTCATTACAAATTATTAAAAATAAGATTATATTTATAGATTAAATAAGATTTATATAAACAACGTAATTTGTTTGAATAATTAAAATTTTTTTTTCGAAAAAAATCAATGTTTTTATACTATTGTACTGAATTCTTGTAAAAGTGTACACCAAAAAATGGTACACTCCTATCTCTAAAATCCAGCAGATGTGCTATTAGGTGTATTTTTTTATATAAGTTGTATTATACAGAGTGGCCCAAAAGTCTGGAAACGGCCAATTATCTCGTAAATTGCTATTCTTTGTTTCAAGTTAAGAAAATAACATTACGCTTATGGAGATCAGTGTTGCCAAAACTCTCAGACACTCTCTTTTGCACGGATGTCCAAGATATTCCCTTTGCTTAATTTTTGAATTTTCATTTTCAATTAACATTTAACTGTAAAGTCAGAATAACTACTAAATAAAAGCCTTATTATCATTATGTAGTCAGAGAACGACATAAAATAGCTGACATACGCACACCGTATTATTTTAAGTTGCAATTAGTAATTAGATATACGCATTCCAAGCGGTCAATATTTTCTACTGATTTCTATGATTCATGGCATATCGTATTCTCACCGAAAAACAAATAAACTGTCGTTACTATAATTAAAATAAGATAAAATAAAATTATCTTTTGTAAATACTGTTTATCTAATTAAAATCATTTTCCCTACTTTTCATCTCTTGTTTCGAATGGGCACTTTTGGTCAATTACGTTAAAAAACATTAATTTAATTCATGTTTGTGGAAACAAAAATGCAAATTATACAACCCTAAATAATTGTGCTTGTGTGTGTCGTGGCAACGCCGCGTTGCTATCGTCTATAAGAAATACATGGCCCTATCTCCGCAATGTTATTTTCTAAACGTGGAACGTAGTATAGTCATAATTGTACCAAATTTGAGGTACACCTATTTTGGGATACGGAGATTCCATATTTGATATTTACAATGTTGCCAGAATTTCCGTTTCTCTTATATTATTAGTAACTTTGGTTTTTCAAATTCATCACCCTGTATATTTAGTCATTATTGGAATTTCCTATTTAATACGAGTTTAACCATAGGTAACACTTATGATTTTATGTAGTCATGAAGGTCGTAAATACATAAAACGGAAATCTGGCAACGCCTAATTGCTTAATAAATTTTTTAATAATAACTATATTTAATTACATTAAAACTTAAAAATTGATAGATTACATCACTTTTTAGCATAATGGTTACTTTATCAAGTGTTCACAATGTGCTCCATTTGTGAGTTGACAGTACGATAATCGATGGTAGAATGCGTCTACCACGTTTCCTCAGGATTGTCTAGAAATTATTCGAGATTCATCGATAATTCGTTGCCTTAGCTCTGCAAGACTTGCTGGTTTAGTTTTGTAAACTGAATTTTTCAAGTATCCCAAATAAAAATATTCTTTAGGATTAAAATCAGGTGAACGTGGAGGCCATTCAATTCTACCTCGTCTACCAATCCATCGTCCGGGAAATATCTCATCTAAATAACGCCGAACATTTACACCAAAATGAGGTGGAGCTTCATCTTGCTGAAACCATATCTGATTAAAATTGGCCCCAAACAAGTTTTTCAGTGTAGGTACAATTTCATTTCTAAGTAACATTTCGTAACTATCTGACGTTAAATTTCCTTCGATAAAAAATGGCCCAATTAACTGAGTACCTACTATACCTGACCATACATTTAATTTTTGTGGTTTTTGAGTATGGTTTTCACGCATCCAGTGTGGATTTAAGTCACTCCAGTACCTTAAATTGTGTCGATTTACACTTCCACACAGTGTAAAGGTTGCTTTATCAGAAAAACATATTCTGTTAACGAAATTTTCATCATTTTCAATTTTTTCCATCATTACCTCAGTAAACTCTAATTTACGATCGAAGTTATCTTCACTTAATTCTTGCAATAAGTTAAACTTGTATGGTTTAAATTTTAATCTTACGTAATACACGTAAGACTGAAGAACGACCTACATCATGTACTTGTGCAACCTTACGTGAGGATGTATGTGGATCTTCTACAAAACTTTGCATTATATCTAAAGTTTTGTTGTCATTCATAACTCTTTTCGGTCTACCAGATCGGTATCTATCTTTCACTTCTCCAGATTCCTTAAATCGCTTTACAGTTTTTTTGTATCGTCGCCTTTTGAATAGGAGAACGGTTTGGGAAAGTGTCATTGAACAAGTTGGCTACTTCACAAAAAGATCTTTTTCTGTCACCGTACCCTCTCATCATTAGAATAGTAATTCGTTCATTTTCCTTAAGAGCCATTTTAGAGACGCAATTTATTTTGTAGAACTTTTCGAAACACAACTACTGTCAGTTTTAGTTAATAATGTATATGGTGAACAAATGTCAAAATCACAGCATTCTACACTTAAATATTTAAATTTATTAAAATCTACACATTTTGAACTGTTTTATGTATTTAAGACCTTCCAGACTACATAAAATCATAAGTGTTACATATGGTTGAACTCGTATTGAATAGGAGATTCCAACAGTGACTGAATATATAGGGTGATGAAGTTGAAAAATCAAAGTTACTAATAATATATGAAAATCGGAAAATCTGGCAACAAAGCAAATATCAAATATGGAATCTCCGTATCCCAAAATAGGTGAACCTCAAATTTGGTACAATTATGACTAGCAATTTACGAGATAATTGGCCGTTTCCAGACTTTTGGGCCACTCTGTATAAGTACCATATGAGATTGTGAAATATACTTTGACAAGACTTCAATGTCTATAATTTTTACAACAATAAAAATTTTCATAACAATGATATCCGACAATTGACATTGACACATAACGCATCAATATTACCATCTAAAATAACTTATGGTTGCCTAGCCTACATTCCATTTCTGACACCTAAGCTAATGAACATCTTTAAAAATGTTAGTGGCTTAAAAATTACAACCAAAAATGTGAAAACTGTATCGAAGCTTTACACAAAAACAAAAGATCCTTTCACAATACAGGAGTCATCGAATGTTGTTTATTCTATACCGTGTACTAACTGTAATAAAATTTACATAGGAGAATCATCTCGTAATTTTCACAGCAGAGTGATATCACATCGTAGTGATATAAAAACCAAAAAAATCAATGCATGTGCATTGACAGAACATGCACTAACTCTAAAACATGAATTCAATTTCGATGATTTCTGTATTTTGGCAATAGAAAAGAACCATTCAAAACGTGTTTTTTTGGAAATGTGTTTCATAAAATCTAGCACATCTTGCATCAACAAAAAGTCCGACATAGACAAATTAAGCAACATTTATTGTTATTTACTAGAAAAACACTAAAAATAAAATAAATATATTTATCTGTACATAAATTACACCTCTATGTATAATATGTTGCATATAATTAAGACAGGTTTAAAAAAGCATAGTCACCTAAGAAGGGCCTCTAGTATTTCTTGAAAAGAAAGATAACATCAATTACACCTAATTACATATTAATTACAGTGTTTTTACTTTCCATTCTCTGTATGAGTTAATATACACCAGTAAAACATGCCATCAACCAAGTTTTACTATTTTTACAATAAATTTTAAAAATGTTATAATGTATTTTGTCCATAATTGTATATTTTAATGTGTGGTATAAATGTTGAGTGTCAATGTTTACAAAAATAATCTCAACGACTAGTAAGTTACACTGAAGAATTGTGATATTTTTTAAATATTTACATAATTGTCTTTTACAGTGTCTTGAAAAAGGAATAAAACCATTCCGAAAGCTCGACAAAAAGTCAAAAGAGTGTTTTTGTTTAACATCCCGGCCAATATTCTGCCAATATAATACCTTTTGCGAGAATTATTAATAATTTAAAAATGTTTTATTACTTATTCGTTGAATAAATTATACTTACTTCAGGCTTCTCCTTTAGAATATTAGAATGCACAACTCCAGACTCCCCTACCTCATCTATAGTTACAGGTTGCTTTGTGAGATTTGTTGTGGAGTGGTCTACGTAGTTCTGCAATTTTACAACATCCTGAGCTATTGAGTCCTTTAAAGAATTGACAAGTTGATCCCAATAACTTCTATTATGAGACTCCAAATCAGATCTTAAGCGCGAAAGACCAATAACAAAGCAACCGACACGTTCTTCAGTACTAGAAAAATATATATTTAAACAAAGAGATACAATTAGAGATACATAATTGCAACATATATTTCACTCGATAGTTAATAAAAGGTATAAAAATTTGTGGACAACGCTTGAACCATCTAAGGTACGCTAATGACATCGTATTGATAACCGATAAAAAAGAAGAATTATTTGAAATGATGAAAGAACTGGACGTAGAAGCTGGAAAGATAGGCCTTAATATGAATTACAGCAAGACCAAAACTATAACAAATACAGATGAAGACATCACAATGAGAATCGGACAATATGAAATAGAACAAGTTAAGGATTATATATATATCTTGGTCAAACTATAAAACTTAACAAAGAGAACCAAACAGCAGAGATCAAAAGACGAGTTAGACTGGCATGGCGGCATTTGGCAAATTAAGCCACATTCTTAAAAACAAAAGATATCCACAGCATCTTAAGACCAAAGTATATAATCAATGCGTACTCCGTGTTCTTACTTATGGTTCCCAAACGTGGACATCTACAAAAGCAAACATGGACAAAATCATAAAAACCCAAAGAGCAATGGAAAGACAAATGTTGCACCTAAGACTAATGGATAAGAAGAGAAACGAGTGGATAAGAGAGAAAACAAAAGTAAGGGATGTTAGACAAGAAGTTGCAAAATTGAAATGGAGATTTACCGGACACAATATAAGGCAAAAAGAAGACCGATGGAACAAAATTCTTATTAGTTGGAGACCGTGGGAATATGAACGAAGCAGAGGAAGGCCCCAAATGAGATGGGCAGATGATATCAAGAAGCACGTGAGCTCTAGATGGATGACTGTAGCTACAGACAGAAGAATGGAAAAGGATTGGGGAGGATTATGTCCAAAGATGGACCGAAGAAGGCTAATTAGATAGATAGATAGATAAATAGATAGTTATGTTAATATAAGAACTTAATTTGTGTTTATTTTTGTTAATAAAATAATTCAGAGACTTCCTATACTTCAAGTGACTGTCGCTATAATAGTTATAACCTGTAGCTGTTTAGTTCCTTCGCATTTTCTCATACCAGTTTTTCTTAAGTATAGTTAAGAAAAACTGGTATAGGAATGATGAGAAGAAATTAAGCAACTACAAAATAAACACGATATACTTATTGCACATAAAAAAATTAAAGAATTGACAACGAGACAAAGTAACAGACACAACATATTAGTGCACGAAATTGGAAATATTATTGTGTAGACAAAACAAAAATTAAGTGACTGAAAAAATACATAGAACAACTGTTTGCCGATTAACGCAATGATGTAGATAATAAATACATAGACAAATAGTGAGACAAAACCAGAAATTAAAAGATAGAAAAGACATAACATAGGAATAAGGAAATGAGCAATAAAAATGCTACAGGTTTAGACGAATTACCAATAATCATAAATAAACTCATTAAAGATAACAACGTAACAAAGATTGTGGAACTATCTAATAGAATTTCCAAATATGGAATCTCTCTTCGGAGAGAACGGCTAAACAACATTAATAACCAAACCGAAAAAGCCAAACGCGAAACAATGCACAAAACACCGGAACATCAGTCGCATGTTGAATTTTTTTACTTTACTTAATCAGTAGACCCATTTGTACCTTTTGGTGTTGGGCCGTTTATAATGCAATTCTTTATATTACAGTATTTTATAATCTTCTGAGGTGTTCTAGCTCTTGACAAACTTTCTTCATTCCTTCCTATTGTATGCCATCTGAGTTGCTTCCTGCCAAGTCTTACCCTTACTCTGCAGTATCTGCGAGATGTCACTGTTCCATTCTTTAATGGGTCTTCCTCTTCTGTTCTTCCCTATTGGTTTGGCGTCCCACACTCTCCTTACTTGTCTATTATTGTCCATCCGGGTTAGATGTCCGAACCATGCCAATTTTTTCTCCTTGATTGATTTGAGAATGGTTTGATTTTTAGTCTTTCTCTTATTTCTTAATTTCTGATTCTATTAGTTCTTTTTACTCCGATCGTTCTTCTGAGGTATTTCATTTCTGCTGCCTGAATTCTGCTTTGATGCCTTTTGTTTAGTATCCAATTTTCTGATCCATATATCACTGTAGGTCTATATATTGTTTTGTATATTGTCATCTTGGTCTTTGTTAATATTTATTTGTTATTAACGAATCCTCTATTTAGTGCTTGGAACAGTTTTTCTGTGTTTTCCATTCTATTGTTAAGATCGTTCTCGATGTCTCCTTTGTTGTTGATTACTGTTCCTAAGTGTTTGTATGAATTTGTTTGTATTATTTTTTGTTGGTCTATCATTATTTCTAGTTGATCTTCCGTCCCTTGTTTCCTTGATATTTTCATTATCTGAGTCTTCTCTTTGTTTACGTTTAAGTTGTATTTGCTTGCTTCTAGGTTCCATTTCTCTAAGTTGTATTTCAGTTTTTCTGCTGTTTCCGCAATTAATACTATGTCGTCTGCAAATGTACACATCTCAGCGTTTATCATTTGCATTCTTATTTAACCGATGCAGTATTTCTTAAACGTTTTCTTACATTATTTCACTATCTCATCTATTACATTTATGAATAGCTCTGGGCTGAGACTTCCTCCTTGTCTAACTCCTTGAGTTGTTTCAAATGGTTCTGACTGCATATTTGACATTCTTACTGTGATTGTTGTTTTCATGTATATACTCTTTGTTGCTTTTATCAGTTCTTAACTTACTGGCTTCTTTTTTAGGCTTTCCCATATATCTTTTTTTTTGACTGAATCGAATGCTTTTTCCATGTCTATAAAGCTCAGATATATTTCTCTATTTTTCTTTAAGGCCTTTTCTATGACTTGTTGCATGGTGAATATATGGTCTTGTGTGTTGTGTCCCTTCCTGAATCCACTTTGTACATCCTCTAATTTATGTTCTATTTCTTTTCTGATTTTCCTTTCTATTATGGTTTCGTATACTTTTGCTGCTACACATAGTAGTGATATAGCTCTATAGTTCTTACAGTCTCTTGTGTTTCCTTTCTTGTATATAGGTATAATTACTGCATTTGTCCATTCTCTGGGTATTACTTTTCTCTTCCATATTAGGTTATATATGTATAACAATTTTTCTTTTGCTTTTACTCCTATATATTTCATCATTTCTGGTGCTACTTCATCGCTTCCTGGTGCTTTTCTAATCTTTATCTTTCTTATTGCTTCTTCTAGTTCTTCTTTTTCTATAGTTTCTGGATTTTCCATGTTTCTCATGTATACTCTCTTGATGTGGCTTTCGTTCTCCATTGTATTCGCTTGATTTCCATTCAGTATCAGCTGGAAGTGTTCCCTCCATCTTTCCATTACTGTCTTATCGCCTTTTATTATTGTTCCTTCCTTGTTCATTATTTGTTGTAGTTTCGTTTCTTTGTTGCTTCTTACGGTTTTCAGTGTTCTATAAAATAATGTTACGTTTTTTGTATAGATTTAAACAAAGAGATACAATTAGAGCTACACAATTGCAACATATATTTCAGTCGATTAGTTATGTTAATATAAGAACTTAATTTGTGTTTTTTTTTTGGTAACAAATAATTCAGAGACTTCCTATACTTCAAGTGACTGTCGCTATAATAGTTATAACCTGTAGCTGTTTAGTTCCTTCGCATTTTCTCATACCAGTTTTTCTTAAGTATAGTTAAGGAAAACTGGTATAGGAATGATGAGAAGAAATTGAATTGCACATAAAAAAATTAAAGAATTGACAACGAGACAAAGTAACAGACACAACATATTAGTGCACGAAATTGGAAATATTATTGTGTATACAAAACAAAAATTAAGAGACTGAAAAAGTACATAGACCAACTGTTTTCCGATTAACGCAATGATGTAGATAATAAATACATAGACAAATAGTGAGACCAAACCAGAAATTAAAAGAAAGAAAAGACAGAACATATGAATAAGGAAATGAGTACTAAAAATGCTACAGGTTCAGACGAATTACCAATAATCATAAATAAACTCATTAAAGATAACAACTTAACAAAGATTGTGGAACTATCTAATAGAATTTCCAAATTTGGAATCTCTCTTCGGAGAGAACGGCTAAACAACAATAATAACCAAACCGGAAAAGTCAAACACGAAACAAAGCACAAAACACCGGAACATCAGTCTCATGTTAAAAATATTCTTAAAAATCATTTATCAAAGAAATATACAAAAAATAAGAAGGTAACATTGGACACACACAATTTAGCTTTTAAACTAGAATGCAAAGAACTATTATTTCTTTCAGATAGATTAGTTTTTATAGCAAAATGCGCATGTGTGACGATTTTTTGGTTTCTACTTTTTCCAAAATATGCGTTTTTTTCAGAAAAATGTCTTTTCTTTGGATTTATTTGCAGTAAATGTCTTGTTATTTCTTATGCTAATATTAGAACCCGTTAATTTTTATATAATATGAATGCGTTTATATCTGCTGACCCCAGAAAAATTGCAATGGTTATTTTCCGATATACTTAAAGGCTCTTTTTAAACAGGAAGGTTAAGCCTCTATTTGGTCAGAAAAATTTAAGAAACTTTTATTTTTATTGTACTTATTCAAAATTTCTAGCTTTTTCTTTACACTTTTATTTTTTGATATAATGAAAGCATTCTTAAAATACGTTTTGTTGACAAAATTAAAACCTCTTGTTTGTCATACCGTTTTACTTCTGCAACATTTGAGTCATTTTCTGCGTCAATTACCTGTCCCTTATTATTACGATTTTTTTCAATAATATTTTTTAAATTTTTTCGTGAGGTACCAAAAAAGTGACTTCGCTTTTTTAATAATTTATGCTCTAGTTTATTAATATCTAGTGTAATAATTGTCTACACAAACAGTACGAATGCACACAAGAAGCCCTTCAGATAGTTCTAAAACAATCGTTGGAAGTATGTACGCTAATCATTTTTTTGGTCCCAAAATAAATTTAAATATTATAAAAGTGTACCCATCTTCATGGCAATCTTTATCTTATCTACAGCAGCGCGAAAAAGCTGCACAGATTTTGTATTGAACTAGATTCTAAGGTTTTTTAAATAAGATGTTCTTCTTCTTCCTGGACTTCGCTTTTCAAATATTTTTCCTTGCAGGATGGCTTGAAGGAGAACACATCTGGATTCATTTCGCATAATGTGTCCGAAGAATTGTAAATTTCGAGATTTAATAGTGGTTAGTACCTCTCGGTTCTTATTCATTCTTCTGAGGACCTCTTCATTTGTGACTCGGTCAGTCCAGGGATCTTAAGTATTCTCCGATATAGCTACATCTCGAATGCTTTCAGTTTTTTGCACATATCTTCGTTTAAGGTCCACGATTCAACACCGTAAAAAAGGACAGAGAAGACGTAGCATCTCCTTCTTCAGCATTATAGCATTTTGAAATATTTTTTCTGATAATTATGAAGTATGCGCTATTTTATCGTATACAGTATTGTGAAAATGTCTGCATTGTTATAGTTTTCAGTCAAACAACAAATATTCAGAGGAAGTTCACATCGTTTCTTGACATAACTTGTTTTATTTTATTGAAGTATAGGTTATTAGTAAACCACTAACAAGATAGTTTGGGCATTATTTGACAAGTCCAATTCAAATTTATAATCCTAAAAATATTTTTATTTGATTTATATTCGGATATTACCATTTTCTTATTAAATATTTAGGTAAAAGTGCTTACTCAGTTCTTTGAGAAACATCCATTTGAGAACCATTTGTCCCGTTGACCAACATAGTAAAAAAATTTCATCCACAGATAGGCAAAAAAGTTTATTGGCGATGGATTCGAGCGGTATTTGATAAAAATTTATTTTATCTAACAATAAAGCACTGAAAACTTTAGTATTCAACACTTCCACAAAATGTATTTGAAATTATTATCACTACAGCTGTTTCGTTCAGAGTGTCTTTCTCAAGTGATCTAATTTTGGTATGTATTTAGACTTTATAGTCTTTAACTGAATAAGATAAGAATAAGAGGGCAGAACTGTTTGTCTTAAGTTAGTCATTCAGAATTATGTCTGTATTTTTAATTTGTTGATTTCCATATTTTCCATGTCCTTTATTTTGAATGTGAAGAATTTTAAATTCGTCATTAAAAGAATGATTATAGTCTAGAAGATGAAGTGCATACGTATAGTCTGTTTTTCTATTATTTCAAGTCCTTTTGTATTCTGCTATACGTTTGATAAAAGTTCTACCAGTTTGACCGATGTAAGTTTTTGAGCATTTGCCACATTTAAGTTTGTATGCACTGCTGTGTAATTGCATGCTAGGAATGACACCAGTGTTTTAAAATAAACAACTTATGCAAACATATTAAGAACACCAAGAAAAATCAATAAAAATATGTATTTTGAGTAAACAAATAGAGAATTTCGCAATCAATTGTAACATTTTAACAATAAATAAGCTTTTATGTTTTCCTTATAGCTAAGACAGGCTATAATGATTAATTTTTAAAGTTTTATTTTTATCCTTACCTTGGTAGCTTAGCAATTTCTTGCCCAAACGTTTTCGATGCTCTAAAATGAAGATCCCAATGTTGCCAAGTTTGTAATTTTGAGGTATCTAGGGATTCCAGTTGAAGCCAAGACTGCCAATGTGTTAATACCGCTTTTAGTTGTTCGAATAGTTCATCTGTACGTTTAGAAACGTTATCCAATGCTTGTTTATTTCTATAAAAAAATACAAATATATTTTTAAATTCTAGTGTTAAACTTTTTATAAATTTACCTAAATTAAACAATTAATCTCAACAATAAAACTGAACGTTATAAACTTATATTATTGAGTTCTAAGAAGATATCAAACAAGACGAGCAGAAAACATACACACTCAAAAAATATAAATCTACACGTTTGTCACGATGCATTGGAAAACCATTCCTAACAACTTACTCAATAAGGCACTTGAATTTTGCTTGGATTTCCGATTTATGTAAATGTATTTGTTTCAAGAAATTGTAAAAAATTTCGGCTCTAATATTTTTTTTATACTTTCAGGATCATTTTAAACAAAAAGGGTCTTAATAATTTTAAACTAAAGAAAGAAACAAAAAACGACAATTGTCAGGGCTCAAAAACAAATTATCTTTGAAATCATTAGGTACTTAAAGTACCTACGTCTCGTCTGATCGACTCTTCTATATGCAGTTGAAACGTGGTCCGCTAAAACATCAACCGTAAATAAATTGGAGGCCGTTGAAATGTGGATCTACCGGAGAATACTCAAAACTTCATGGACATCGCATACCTCAAACGAAGAAGTGCTGCATAGAATAGGCAAGAAAAGAGAACTTTTTAATACAGTAAAAGTTAGAAAAACATCGTACCTAGGCCACAAACTGAGAAATAATAAGTACCAATACGCCCAACTTATAGTGAAAGGAGAAATCGAGGGAAAGAGAGGCCTAGGAAGGAAAAGACTATCGTGGCTAAAAAACATTAGACAATGGACAGGGCTAAATTTTGAACACAGCTAATAAGAACAGCTGAAGATAGAGAAGAGTTTAAAATTGTAGTAGCCAACCTCCATTGAGGAGAGGGCACTCTAAGAAGAAGAAGTACTTAAATCTAATTTCAAACATTTTTTCACTTCCCACTGAAAAGTTTAAGCTTATTTTATTTTAAACATTGCTTTATAATTGTTAATGAAGTGCTTATAGTAGGGTAGTTGCTTAAGATGCTGCGTGTATAGAGTAACAATATTTATCTTTCTCTTCTTATTCTTCTTTTATAAAGTCCTTTTTTCTGCAGCTGTCCCGAAAATAAAACTTTCAGTATGATATATTAAATCGAAATAGCTCACGTTAATTTACTTACAGACTATTTACTTATCACTCTGTGTATAGAGTAGATTGTAAACCTGCAATGTAACAATAAAAAAATTCCAAGAAATGGAAATCAGCAGTGAAAGTGAAGCCGAAATGTCTCCAGATAAGATTAGGGAAACTGCTAGAGCTGCTACTTTTGAATTGAAGAAATAGATAAATTTGTATTATATATAAGAAGCTAAAGATAAGATCTACTTAATCTTCTTCTTTTTGTGCCACTCCTATCGGAGATTGGAAATCATCAAGGCTATTCTGACCTTGTTTACGGCTGACCTAAAGTGTTCATTAGTGGTGCAGCCAAACCACTCTCTCAAATTCCGCAACCATGACATTCTTCTACGGCCTGGATTCCGTTTTCCTTCTATTTTTCCCTGCATTATATTTTGAAGTAATGCGTATTTATGTCCTCTCATCTACTTAATGACAAAGATTAAATCTGTAGGAAAATATACATGTTTTCAATATTGTAGGAACATTTGTAATGGATGTGTATAACATGCAAAATTATTAATAAATAAGTGTTTGTAATAGTAGTTTATTTTATTTTATTAAAAGAATATTTTAATCCGTCTATTTCAATCCGGCTATTTCAATATGTGAACTCACAGTCTGCCGCGTGTGCTGATCCATTTTTGTGGGGCGCGTATACTGAAAGGATCGTAAGATAAGATAACGATCTAAAAAAAACAGGTAAAAGAACAGGCCTATGTAAAAAAATACATAAGCATGAGATAGAGCTAAACAAATAACACCATTTTTTGTACCTTTTTGTGATTCCTTCAAAGAGTTCATTTTTTGGTTCTTCCGATATGGTTCGAAAATTTTTGGGAATATCCAAAAATCTCTTGAGTTGTTGATCGTAGGTCTTTCTTAAGTTTTCTTCACTTGGAAAATACTCTAAGACAGAGTTTCTATAAATTAAATCAGCATGGATTTCAGGCAGGTAAATATGAAGGGTGTCTAAACTTTCTAAATATTGTTTCTCTAATACTTGACATAGTTGCTTGTCGAGGTCCTTCTTCCAACTTTGTACATTTCTAAAACCTTTTTCTTCGACTTGATTTGTAATGTGTCTTATTTGTTTGGCTATGTCTTTCCATCTGCTGTAATCTTTAATAAGATCAATTTCTTTCAGACCATTTATCTAAAACAGGTTAATCATAAAACATTTAGTTTAAAGTTAATTAATTTTTACCTTTTCCAAAATTTGATGATGGTACATAGTTAGCAGGTTATTTTCCTTCGAGAGTCTTTCAACAGCTGTTTTCAGAGTTTCCACATACTTTTCTACTGATCTTTCTTGCCCCCAGGAAACCACTTCTTGTTCTTGTACAAGCTTTGATAACTCCATGGCACTGGCAAGCATCATTGGCTTCTGGGACGGAATCATACGATCGCCAATTGTATTGTGAAAATTTGCAATCTGTAACAACATAAAGAAATATTTAAATGACTATTAATATATTTTGTAATTATTATTTTAAAATTAAATAGTTTTATAATACTAATAAATTGTTTTTTTTTGTTACAGATGTGTTCGAATGTAATCGAATTTTTAAAGCAGCTTTTTGGTTCTACAAGAGTTATCCTTTTTATATACGAAGGGTAAGGTGCTCACCTGTCCCTTTAACCTTCCTCCTTTATCCGACCTTGGGACTAGCAACATGACTATTAAGCTAGTCGATCAACCTAATAATAATGCAAGCTGAGGCGAAGTATTTCGTGGTATAGCTGAAAAGACTCTTCTGGACAAAGAAATAAGTGAAAACATAAAAAATGCATATGGGGAAGACAATATTGAATGTCGAGAATCGCTGGAAATTTCCAACAGGGCGACAAAGTGTAGGCTAAACAGAATAAAAGAAGCGACAATCTGAAACCTATATTAATAATAATATCGTACGGCATATTTGCTGAGACCCTTTCGGATTTTTTCGACACCAATTAATTCTTTAATCCTGATCTAAATCCATTACTGTTTGCGCTTTTCTTGAATGACCTACATGAAGCGTTAAGCGGTTAGGCGGTTTGGAGATAAATGGTTTAATTAAAAGACTTTTATTATATGCAGGTGATTTGGTCTTGATGGCAATGAATCCGAAGGTGCAACAGCGGATGAGTAATGAACTAGAAATATACTGCAGGATGTGGAATCTAAAACTAAACTTAGATAAATCCAAAATTCTTGTATTCAGAAATGTAGGTGGTGTGATCAGCGAATCTCAAACACTGAATGATCAAGTATTAGAGGTAGTAAATAACTATAATTATGAGGAAATGTTAAAAGTATAGATTATATGTATATATATATATATATATATATATATATATATATATATATATATATATATGTATATATATATAAGTATAGATTAAGATGGGCAGGCCACGTGGTACGGAGTGATGACGACAGACTGATTAGCAATGTATTTTGGGAAAGACCAGATGGTAAAAGATCGACAGGAAGGCCTAGAAAAAGGTGGAAAGACGCTGTCAGGGAAGACCTAGAGAAGATGGAAGTAAGGCCATGGGAAATAATAGCACAGGATCGGAATCAATGGAAGGCAATAGTAAACGCGGCAAAAACTCACGAAGAGTTGTAAAAGCCAATGATGATGATGATGATGAAATGTTAAAAGTGAAACTGGAACAAACCATAAAGTGGAGATATCCAGGAGTGACTAGTATACCTGTTGAATACAAAGCACGTGGTGTTCGTGTGTATTAAGGTATAAAAAATGCTTATTAAAAGCTTAAAATTTTTATTTTAAAGAAGATCTTTTCGGAATTGAATCATTTCATCATCAGTTTATTAAAAAGTTGTCAAAAAACATTGTATGGCCACATAAAAACATTGGAAGGACATCCGTATTAAAAAACAATCCTCATGGTATTTATGAAGGTAAATGTAATAGACTGTTAATTTGTTGATTAATAAAAACTGAAATCTTCCATGACCCTCTGTAGTCGATAAAACCTCACCAACTACAGGAGGTCATGTAAGATGCCCCCATTTTTAGTTTTTATTAATAAAAAAATTAACAGTTTATTGCATTTACTTTCATAAATACCATGAGGATTGTTTTTTAATACGGATGTCCTTCCAATGTTTTTATGTGGCCATACAATGTTTTTTGACAACTTTTTATTAAACTAATGATGAAATGATTCATTTCCGAAAAAATCTTCTTAAAAATAAAAATTTTAAGCTTTTAATAAGCATTTTTTTATATCTTAATACACAAGAATACCACGTGCTTTGTATTTGGGAATGATAGTAGCACCCAAGTTGTCGTTTGAAGCTGATTTAAAAAAGCGCCAGAGTTTGGCAAAAGTGGCGATTTATACGGCTTGGAGTAGTTTAGTGTCTAAGGCTGATATACCCTTTTTGGCTAAAGTCACAGTATATGAGTCGGTGGTAAGATTAATTTTGACTTATGAATCTCAGGTGTCGGGTCTTTTTGAGTAAGATAGGGTGGAAATAATCAGAAGATTTATATACCAAGGTATTGTCCTAACCTTATGTGAGATTTACAGACAGGTATTGCTAGAGGCAGCCTATATACGATAAATTTACATCAAACATATATATTAAAAAAATACTAGGATATTCGAGTGATATGTTGTCAAAATTTCTTTTGAAAGAAATGGAAAGAAATGATGAGAGCAAGGTGTGGCTGGTGGAAAGACTGGATGAGCATGGGAGAAAAATTTGGTATTGAGGTACAGTGTGAATGGGACTGAAGAGATAGCTGACCTAGTATGACTGAGACTATGATAGAAAAAATAAGGAGAGATACAGCGTCAGGCTGAGAATAGGATACTTTAATCAAATTTTTGTGGACAATACAAAGAACTGCGGTAAGAAGGAGTAACATTCAATGGCTGTCCAAATTAAGATGTAGAGTTCTATATTTAAATGATCGACCTGGCAGAAATGATGAAAGAAAGTTTTGCTCAATGTGTAATACGAAGCAAAGGGAAGCTGTGTAGGAATGACGTAGTAAATTGTAAGTAGTAACTACGATGAGAAAGTTGTTATTATTATTGTTATTATTATTACTAATATATAAACAGCTTTTACTCCCTCTGGGGGACAAATTCAATCATTTCAAATACAAGCTATACCTTACTATTATCCATTGTTATTATTGTTTAGTCTAGTGTTAGTCTTACTTAGTTTACTCAGTAGAATATTCACATTTAGTTTATTATTGATAGTACAATTAGAATCTATAAGACTTGCATACGACCGAGCATGGCATATGGCATAGAAGTGCGCGAAGATACCAACAAAACGAAACAGATGCTAAGGGTTGCCGAAATGAAAATCCTAAGAACAATAATGGGGAAAACAAGAAGAGACAGAGTGAGAAATACAAACATTAGAGAGCAGTGCAAAATTCAAGATATTGTAAGATGGGGAAGGCAGTCTACTCCCGGAGAGAACTGAATTTTGGGCCAATTGGGAGGGCAGTTGGCAAGGCAATTGACCTGAAGTGTTTAGACGAAGACAATAATTTTATACCAGTAAGTTGTCTTCTGACAATTGTCTCGCCAATTGTCATCATGAAAACGCGGCTTAAATCTCAATTGTAGTGACAATTGGCGCCGTGTAAACGGTGTAGGTCAGTAGTAGTGTCGTCTTCTTTTTGCCAGTTCCCTCTAGTTCTCTGGTGGCAGTCACCAGAAAACATATACGTGGTTTCTGTTATTTGTAGCTGTCTACTGGCATGGCAATACTTGGCTCCGTATAAACATCTTCTTCATCTTTATCTGAACTGGACTGGCCTCCGACAATCCGCAACCACGTGATGACAATTTTCCAATGACAATTGTCTCGCCAATGGTCATCGTGAAAACTCGGCTTAAAAGACAAAAAATGTTTTTCATTTTCATCTAGTTCGACTTGAGGAGCATTCACACACATACAAACGCATGCGCACATACTGTATGTAGCACTTTTTTATAAAGTATAAACTTAATATAGTTATGTAAATAATAAAAGAGACAGTTTTTACTTTTTACTCACAAAATATGTTAAGCTTAATACCTGTTCTAATATTCTTGCAAATTTCATAAACTTTTTAGCATGTTCACTGGTATCTTCAATAACATTTGGCACGTGATATCCCATCGCTTTTAGCTGTCTAACTTCAGATATAAGAATGACTAGTCGTGGTGAGTAGTTAACGTGCATAAGTTTCTCTTTAGAAAACTCGACAACAGGATCCGATTCTCTTAGACTCAATGCGTTGTTTTTTATATAACCCATTATTTCCGAGCTCCACGATTCGAAGAGCTCGTTATGCTGTTGTTTGAGGTCCTTGATGAGTTCGGTTATCATTTCCCTAAGGTCATCATATCCTTGAAGATCCTACGAAAGAGAATAAACAATTACAATACTATTTAGGGTTATTAAAACAGTATTGAGCCTGGAGAAATTCTTACTCTACCGAAAAGAAAGTTGCTATCGTGTGCTATATATTCACAGAAAACTAGCGCCAGTCACGAAATCTTAATTTTTTTTTAATTTAGAAGAACTTGTAGATGTAGTGTTTATATTAGGTTATTAACGAAAATAATTTGTACTGTTCGTCAAATAAAAGAAAAACTATTAGTTATAATATGTGTACCTTAAGTATTTTCTGAGATACCCTGTTTACTTCGTTTGCTTTAGATTCAAGTTGTCTAATCATTATAATATCCTTAACCACTTCTGGTGTGTCGTATCTAGTGGCGATTATAAAATTTTCAGACGCTGTTTGAGACTGTATTTGTTTTAAATAATCATAAAGTGCCACCAAAAGAAATTGCCTTTCTTTTATGAGCTCCTGCATAAGAACTGGTCTACTAATAAGTTCTGAGTATTTGGAATACTCGTAGATGAGCTGTAAAAAAATAAATGTATTAATTATTTATGAAATTAATTTGTAAAGCATTTTGGCGTTAGTGGTATATAAAACGGATTTTATTAAAAAAATATATATATTTATCAAACTAAAGTAATTAAATTTTATAATTAATAACTCAATTTTAGTGTCACTGAGTAAAGTAGTTAATACTATTATTTTTTGAGGAAATTCAAATTATTCTGTGTCATATCCCGGTGAGAATTCAACAAACGCAAATGTTAAATTAAATTCGTAGGGGCTAGATAAGATTTGTTTCACTGTAGACATTTGTTCTTGTTCATCACCATAATTTTTGGCTCTACAACTCTGGGTGGGTCTCGGCCTGTTCAAGAATTAGTCTCCATTCCCCCCTATCCTTAGCCCTGGCTATCCAATTTCTGACCCCTAGTTTCCTCAAGTCATCTTCGACTTGAGTTTGGAATCTAGACCTTGGCCTGCCACTCTTTCTGGTTTCTACTGGCTCTTGATAGAATATCTGTCTTTGGGGGTTTTCAGTGTCCATTCTTTCAAGATGGCCTAGCCACTTTAGTCTATTAATTTTAATAGACCGGACGATGTTGCATTTTTTATAGCATTGATACAACTCAAAATTGTAGCGCCTGCGCCATATCCCGCTTTCTTGTACTCCTCCGTATATGTGTCTAAGTATTCGTCTTTGAAAGCGGCCTAACAGTTCTTCGTCGCTTTTTATCATAATCCATGTCTCTGACGCGTTTCAGGACAGGTTTAATAAGAATTTTATATATTAGTACTTTGATTTTTCTGCTAATTATGTGTGATGTTAAGAACTGCTTTAGTCCAAAGTAAGCTCTGTTCGCCAGGTATATTCTTCTCTTAATTTCTACGCTTACTAGGTTGCTGTTATTTATTTTTGTTCCAATATATATATATATATATATATATATATATATATATATATATATATATATATATATATATATATATATATATATATATATATATATATAAACTCCGAGACTGTACACTTCTATTCATGATTGTACCTTTGGTTGTTACGCCCGATTAATAGACACAATAGACTGTCTCCCTGGCGTAATCCAGTATGTGTTTGAAAAGACCTTGACACTCTGTTTTGAACCTTGATATTGCACTCAACTTTCAAAAGAGTTGCCTTTACCAATATTATTAGATGCGACGGAATATCTAGTTCTGCCATGGCATTATAAAGTGCGCTTAAAGGTTTGAAGCTTAAAGAGAAGCGTCGGTCGACCACCTACAAGATGGACTGACGATTTAAGAAGACTTAATAAAAACTGGATAAGAGGGGCGCAAGATAGACGGGGTTGGAAACATGAGGAAGAGGCCTATGTTCAGCAGTGGACTCTTGAGGCTGGATGATGATGAAAGGTTTGTCTAAGAAGGAAAATCTGATCAATTTTTGACCTTTCTTTTCGGAATCCACATTAGCATCTGGTATTTTTTCTTCAGGATATACTGGTAATCGATCATAAAGTATATAAGTCAGTACTTTGTAAGCCGTATTTAGGAGGGTAATGCCTCGATAGTTGTTACATATTAGTGGATCCCCTTTCTTGTAAATATTTATTATAATACCTACGTTCCAACTGTATGGGAGTTTTACTTCTGTCCAAATAGATGCAACAAGTTTTATTATGTATTTTTTTAGGACGTTTGCTCCATACTTGAACAGCTTAGGAGATATACCATCTTCTCCAGGGAATTTGTTGTTTTTTGTCCTTTTTATTGCCTTGGCAACTTCTTCTTCTGCTTTTATATTGTTTTTTTTCTCCCTATCATCGTTTACGTCTCCACTGTGGTCATTTATGTCAATCACTTCTTGGTTGCCTCTATTTAATTTCTCAGCAAAATTCTCCGCCCATCTCTCCAGTATTTGATCCGGCTCATTGATAATTTCGGCTTCCTTATTTTTTATTATGGTTATTCTAGGTTTAAACTCTTTTTTATTGTGTTTCACATTTTTATAAAATTTTCGAGCTTCGCTTTGTGAATTGAGCCTTTCTAGTTACTGTAGCTAGTTTTCTAAATGTCGTTTTTTCTTTTGTTTTAGTATCTTTTTCTCTGCTTGTGTCATCTCTTTATACTCTTCTTGATTTTGTCTTGTCCTTCTGTTTTGGAGTTTTCCATACGCCTGATTCGTTTTTTGAGTTGCCTGTGCGCATTCCGCATCATATCATTCTATCCCCTTCCTTTCTTGTTTCTTCTTTCCTACAACTGTTGTAGCTACTTCTTTTAGGATATTTTCGCACTTATTGTAGTAATTGTCTATGTTTTCAACAATACTACTCATTTGGTTTTCTAGTTTTTCTTTAAGTTTATGCTCAAATTTTCTAACTATCTTAGGGTTTCGTAGTCTGTCCACCTCGAATTTAGTTTCTTTGCTTCTTTTACCTTTTTTTAAGTTAGAGATTCGTGCCCTTAGTTTAGTCTGGACCAGGTGGTGATAAGAGTCAATGTTTGCTCCACGTCTGGTACGTACATTCATTACATCGCTGTAATGTCGTGCGTCCATAACTACATGGTCAATTTAATTGATTGTGTTACCGTCTGGGCTAACCCAAGTGCCGTTGTGTATATTTTTGCGCTTGAAGCATGTGCTGGCTATCACGATATTAATTGAATCCGCAAGGTGTATTAAGCGTGTTCCATTGTTGTTCAACTCGTTATGGATGCTATCTTTTCCAATGGTGGGTAGGTAACCGTTTTCTTTTCCCATTTTGGCGTTGAAACCTCCAAGTACTATTTTTATATCATTTCTAGGCAGTTCCGTATTATTTCTTTCAGTTTTTCGTAAAATTCATCATTTTCTTCGTCTAGCTTATGTTCTGTGGGTGCATGAGCATTAACTACTAAACTAAACATTTGTTTTGTTACTGATAAAATAGCTCTAAAGCCTGCTTAATTATTTTTAACTTTGATATATTTCCATAACATTAATTTACATTGCAGTTTTTAAAATTACTTTCTGAAATTTGCAGTTTCTTATACAATTTACAATTTTTTAGATATTTTATTGTTTATTACTACTTTTTTCTATTATTCTATTAAAGGTTCTTTTAGATTGGATTGTATTTTCGCTGTCGGTCTTGCTGTTGAACACACTGGACAGTCTATTATTATAATATGTTATACTGAAAATGGTATTTGGCAGTTGTAGCACAGCGGCTAAGGGTCATTGGAACTGATGTATCCATATATGAATTTTGAATGCCCTAGCCGCAATCTGTTGAGGACTACTTAATCACGCTTTTAAGATATGAGTGATAGTAAATCAGAAGCAATATCTGGTTTGACAATTTTTAGTTTTGCTTCCATTTGGCTTAATTTTTCTTGCTAGGTTTTATGAAGATGGCTTTATATTAATGATTTTTGGTCTAAAAATGGTAGATTTTGCATTATAGGATTCGATATGTTATTGACAGTTTCTGTTGCTGCTCTATCAGCCGCTTCATTGCCTATTATCCCGACATGGGATGGCATCCAAAGGAGTCTTATGTGTTGTCCGCTTGTTTGGGCATTGTAAAGCCCAAACTGGGTAGAACGTATGTTTTATTTGTGCTAAATTGGCATAAGTAGGATACATCTGTTTGATTCCCTTTAAAGATTCTCCCTCGGAGAACCTGATATGATAAGAAAATTTGCTGATACATAAATTTAATGCGTAGCAGATTATTTGCAGATGTACAGTATATATACTACACTCATTGGCTAAGCGGTTGACCGAGGTACTGTCTTCAAAAACAGCTGCAACAGCTACACCATTGCTGCTTTGGAGGCGCCAGTAAAAATTAGTTTAAAATCAGGATATCGTGAGATGGTAAAGTGGAATTGTTGTTTAATTTAAGAGGGATTATGAGAATGCTTGGAATAGCTGAGTATGGTAAAATCTAAATTTTAGTATTTGAACTTTCCAGGGACGAGACTGGCATCTGTTTGCAGCAGTGTCTCTCAACTGATATGTTTCATATTAAAATCGATTTATGCGTTTGTTGAAAGGTAAGTTCTTGGGGGAGTAATTTGAGTAGAGATTTGGAGAGTTATTCCTTAAGTTTGTCAGGAAGGGTTTTTATTTTTATTTATTCTGCGATATTTACTAACACAACACATTGAAAAATATTGCGTTCTAAGAAAAAGTGGAGGTTTTCCATCTAAGACTTAAAAGGCTGCTAATTGGCGTGGTTCTGAAAGCTCCGAAACCTATGGGTAATGCTGTAGATTGGATGATTTCCAGTTTTTTCAATTGAGTTTTAGTAGCAGTTTCGTAGCATATACATCCGTAATCTAGTTTGCTTCTAATTAGAGCTTGATATAATCGAAGAAGAATAATTGTACCTGCACTTCATTTCTGATTAGAAAGGACTTTTAATAGATTTATTCTTTAATCTTCTTTTTCTTTTTGTGCCACTCCTATCGGAGATTGGAAATCATCAAGGATATTCTGACCTTGTTTACGGCTGACCTAAAGAGTTCATTAGTGGTGCAGCCAAACCACTCTCTCAAATTCCGCAACCATGACATTCTTCTACGGCCTGGATTCCGTTTTCCTTCTATTTTTCCCTGCATTATATTTTGAAGTAATGCGTATTTATGTCCTCTCATCAGGTGACCAAGATATTCGAGTTTTCTTCGCTTTAGCGTTAACAAAATCTCTGGGTCTTTTCCTATTCTTCGTATTACTTCACAGTTTGTTATTTTTTTAACCCAACTAATCTTCAGCATTCGACGGTAGCACCACATCTCGAAACTTTCAATATTTTTCATGTTGTTCTGTTTGAGAGTCCAGGCCTGTACACCGTATAATAGCGTGTTAAATACATAGCCTCTCAGCATTCTTAATCGTAGAGGGATGCTTATATTTCTGTTGCAGAAGAATTTTCTCATCATTATGAAGGTGGCCCTGGCAATTTCGATACGTCTTTTTATTTCAGTGTTTTGGTCTCCAGTTTCGTTTATTAAAGTTCCCAAGTATTTGTAAC